AAAAAGCCACAAAGTATTCTTGTTTATTGACATGTTTAGATATCGATCATTACTTTGACAGCTAAATGATATGGCATTGGTAATTCTAAACTTATGCTTGTACAATTCTAAGGTAAGGAAGAGGAATTTATCTCAATTTTTTTAAAGCATTCTGATTAAGTTTTTGTACTAAACCAAGCTGAGAAGAATTTCTCTTAAAATGCAGGCAAAGCTTCTGAAAATGTTCTTGAGGCTTGTTTCTTGAGCAGCATAATGATGACTCAGGTCTAGTTTTTGTTCCGCCGCAAACAGGAAAACAAAAGCCATTGGTCGCCGAATTAACTGGCTACTATAAAGATTGCAATCAAACAAAACAATTATAATAAAAGATTCGCCACCTTCTGAAGCAATTAAGGCAAACAGATTTGAATTCTTCGAATTAATTAACATGTCTGGAGCGTTTTTTTGAGTGTACACTGTACAGAAATGGAAAGTCAGCTGCAACAAAGTTGGCGACACACAAAGAACAAGAACTTCCCCAAAGGAAGACAAAAAGGGCGATGATGATGCACCACCAGATGAGTCAGAACCGATCTGGAAATCCGAAAAAAATATATCAAAGGGCAACTTTTCCGGCTAATAAAATGATTATGCTGAGGGCCTTACTTATTTTAAGATGAATCAGAAATGATGATAAATAGTCTAGCATCTAGAAATACTGGGAGCTATAAAAATTCATAAATCCCTAGTTAACTTTACCTGATCATAAGAAAGCAGAAATTCCTAAAATAAATATTGATATGTAAAAAAATAGCGAATCCTCTATATCAATCAGAATAGAAAAGAATCAGCAGACTTTTCCAGCTAATGAAATGATTATGCTGGCTCTACTTATTATAATTATGGCACGGCTTATTAATGGAGCCCGGATTCAAATGGAGAATCTCTGGTTCGGGTTCGGTGGGCTCTGCGTGATGATCTCATCGATTGCATCAGATTTCGCACGGCATGTCGTTTTATGTTGCCAGCGAATTTTGTTCTTATTTCTGCTCCCCCTTTTTTTGTGTGTTTTAATGTGCAAAAGACATATGCAGAATATTCAAAATTAGCTGTTAGCACGCCAGCCACCAACGCTATCAACTTCAATGCGAAACAGCGCTTTTAAGGCGAGCCAACGAAAATAATAAAAAATGTTTCATGGTCAATGCCATGAAATTGGTTGCACTGGACGCTTGACTGACAATCGTTGACAGCCCAGATATAAAGTTGGATAATATATAAGAGGCCCCCAGACAGATATATGTGTACATAACTGCCGCACAGGTACCCTCGAAAAATTTGGAGAAAAAAATCACTGCGTGTGCAGCAAATTGATTGATCTGCACCAAACTTTGTTGCCGACTGTGGCGAATCAATCAATTGAAAAAATTAAGAGAGATACGAAAAAAAAGATACAGATTGAAACCCTCTTAATTTGCCGCATTTCTTTCCCCTCGTTTGACATCTCCATTCAAAGCGTTCGAAAAATATTCTTGGGTGTTGTCACCGCGACAGCTTTTGTGCGATCCAGATACAAGCCATAAATAATACGATTTACATATGAATTTGTAACTGTTCAACCTCTATTAGTATCTGAATATTTCACGCTCTCTAATGATCGTCTAAATCCAGTTTAAAGCATTCCCACTCCCCTTTTCCATTCGCCAGTAATGAGGCTTCCCCACTTCAGCATTGACCTCTCGTTAAGCCTGAGCGGTGAATTTTGAATTTAAATTTTGTTATTGCAACAAGTGTTTGTATTTCGCGTATTTTCTTTTGCATTTCAAGTGGTTCGAGTGACGTCAACTGAAATGATTATGAATCGGAGAATTTACAAAAGCAAAATTCGGAATTATCTAAAGAAATACGAGAAGTCATCTTGTAGAATTTTAAGCTTTTTTATTTGGGGTATTTTTTTGATTTTTTACAAGTTTTAAAGATAAATTTATTGTGAAGTTCTGGTAAAAAAAGATATAATTTCAAAACTAATAGTTCTTAAACGATTTAATATTTTTACGCCTTTAATTTATCTTTTTAAAATATTTATTACCATAACAAATAACTAAAAATAAACATTTTAGTATGAGTAACTAGGCTTATCTCCAAATCCTTAATAAAAAATATTTATGTAACTTTGAGGCTAACTTCCAAATTCCATTCTGCATTTACTAAACAAACACAAACTTCATATCTGTGAGAACAGCGATTAGGGCTTGCCAAACGATATCTTATCAATGAAATTTCCGAGTGTTACGTAGGCCATGGCCATAATTCGATTCGATTAGTCAGAGCCAAGAATAAAAACAGACGGGGGAAAATAAAGCCCGATCGAGACGGAAACAAATCGAGGCAGAGCAGAGGTGATGGAGTAACGGAAATCATAATATAGAAATCAGGTGGAACGATTACGACAGGGGTCCCGAGAAGACGGCGATGACAGCGATATTTATTTGGCCGAACATTGATGATGTGGATAATATATACACAGATCGAGTACATATATATTTTATTGAACAATGCACAGGCAAACAAACAAATGGGAGAAGGCTTTAAGGCAAAAGGCCAAATTGTTTATGTATTTTCCCGCCTCGACGGCAACGCAACACATTTGGGGTCGATTAATGGAAACACAGGAAGTTTGGCCAATAGCTGGGGGCTGTTAAATCGTCTTGAGGGGGGTCCTACATCTATCCTATATATATCCCATATCTGCTGTAACTTCTGGCCAGCATTCACTTACTTTCTCGGCAAACTCCTCCCGCGGACGTCGCGAAATCGTCGGTGTGGCACTCATGAGTTCCTTGGTCGGCGATGGTGTCATTATAGCAATTATATCTCCCCTCGTCGGTTATCGTTTATGAATTGCACTTGCGGCTATTAGTTCTAGTTACTTGGGACCTCTTTTCGTATTGCTTTCGGTTACACTTTATTTTACTTTTTACTTTTGATTGAATGGTCGGTTTCGCGTGCTGCGGAGTAAATTAAATTTATAGCAATATTTTATCAGTCTCTGCCAATTCGTTGGAATTTTCTACTTTGGTCTATAAACAAATTATTACGTAGCCTTTGAGAAATGTCGCTAGCGTGAAACCGTTTTTGCCACTTCACTTTGCTTTTGTTTTGGCCTTTTATTAATTGCCGGTTAGGGGCGTTGCTGTTTTTACAGTGGATTGCGGTTGGGGTCAAACATTAGATTGGGAAAATATTTTTTTAGCTAACCAATAAATTATTCAAGTGATATTTTTTGTGGAAAAATTGATGGTCCCTTCTTTTGTTTTAATTTATGGTAAGTGACTCATTTTATTCTTTTAAAATACAGAAATATGTATAAGATGACAAGCTAATATCTTTTAAAATATATATATTTGCATGGATTTAATAGAAAATAATAATAATTTTAATAATATTAATATTAATAACTGAAAATAATTTTGCAATCAAAGATGCATAGATATATTTGCTTCAAGAAATCAAGTTTTAAAACATAAGCCATATTTGCTACCAACCGGATGGCTGTAAGGCGATTTACTTTAATTGAAATTTATTAGATATTTATGATAAGCAAAGTCGCTAGACGATAAATTTAAAAAACCCAGTGTGGGTGTAATCAAAGCAATATTTACTGTATTGCTAATCTACTTCCAATTACAGTAAAAAATTAAAAAAAACACGCTAATGAGTCTGGAAGTTGGGATCATATCTCCATATGCAAAGAATGTTGTCACTTAACTATTTTTAGAAGGCGACGTCACTAACAAAAAAAGGTGAACCGGAACGCCACCAAAGAATGTGGTTGTTTTTGTTGCTGAACGTTGATTGACCCCGAATATGAGAACGAAGAAGAAGCAGCAAAGCCGGCCGGCCAATTAATTGAGTTTCTATTTGTTTTATCTATTCATTTGCTGAGTTTCCTTCTTTTTTAAGGTTCGTTTTCTTTAGTTTTCCTTCTATTTTCCAATTCGACCTTCAGGTGAGTGCAATTCTAATTGGAATTCAGTTTAAGTAAGCAGGGGAAAGAAGAAGCAACAGTTGGTTGAAGGAGTCCGGCACGCACACACAAAAATGCACACACACATACACATTTAAGCGCGGCTCACACGCACACCGGTTAAACTTGTTATCGGCCGCATGCAAGAACCCAAAAACTACAAAAACTACAACAACTGAAAAAAGAAAAGTCTAGGCCGAAAACAAGTTCTGGAATAGCAGCAGCAGCCGCAACCCCGCACTCAAGTGTAAGTGTTTTATTTTGAAACACGGCTTTTTGTTCCTATTTTGTGGCGGGTAACTTAGCAAGGAGTAAAAAGCAGTGCTCACACTTAACACTCTCACATACATACACTCGCCGCGCAAATTAAAAACAAACGAAAGTAAATCAACGTAAAAACGAAACGAACGCGATCCGCCGACGCGCTTTTCTTCAGCTTTTTCAAAACACTACGAAATATTGCGGCTGTTGGCCAGTGTGAACGCAGATGCCAATTGGAAAAATACCGCCTGGCTGCCAATTGGGAAAATACCGAATTCCAACTAAAAATACCAATTAGTTTAACGTTTTGAAAGTCGAAGCTGTGATTACCCTACATATTCTATTATTTACGGTCAGGTTGCAAAAAATAAAAAAAATTAAATTAAATTGAATCGGTTTTTCCTAAGAGCTTTTGTAAAAGATAATTTATACTTTCTACAAAAGCTTAAGGATCGTTACAAATAATATTATTATGACTTTACTAACAAATCTATTTTAAATTTTATAAAAAAAAAAACAAATCAATATAAGGTATAAATCTATATATAAGGTATAAGGTATGATTTTATAAAAAGACTTACTTTTTAAAATAAATAATGTCATTGTATAAAAAAAATAAACCTCAGTCCCCAATTTTAATAAACCAAAACCATGATAAATATTATTTAAATCAATGATCCCTCATTTAAGTGTTAAATTATAATTGTGTATAAGATTAACCACGTAAAACCTCTACTTTTTGACTAATAAAATGAGCGCCTGGCGCGCATCGATTCGTTTATTGTGATTGGCACTAGTAAACAAGTGATTTCGAGCAACTAACTCCCTGCACTCGGCTGCTCCACGGCTCTGATTTGGCCCTGCAGCTCCTGGATGTGCTGCTCGAACTTCTGGATATCGCCGGTGATCTGCTGCAGACTGGTCAGCACATTCTTCAGCTTCTCCCCATCGATTTGGACCTCCAGCTCGCGGATCTGCTTGGTCACGTTACCCGTGAGGGAGACGCATTCGACCAGCTCACTGCAATTGGCGTGCAGTTGGGCCAACAGCTTGTAGGCCCTCTTGGCGTGCAGATCATGCTTGGCGCTCTGGAAGAGCAGATCGTCCGTGTAGTTGAACTGACGCTGCAACTGGGCGCCTACCACATTCAGTTGCTTCTGCAGTTGCCGCGTGTCATCGAGAACCTTGTATATATCCGCTCGCTGCTTGCGAATGTTCCCAATGAACTCGTGTATCCTGCGGGTGTATTCCTTGCGCGGTGCCAGCGACTGACTGGCGTTCCGCAGCGTGGCATTGAGTTCGTTGTGCTGTTGCGTCTTGGCCTGTAGCTCCTGCTCCAGTTGTTCGATGTTCTGGCGAACGCCCTGCACCTCCTGGGCTTCCTTGGCGGTTTTTAGGGTTTCTAGGCTTTCCAGCAAGGGTTTTCGATAATCCTGCCACTGCTGCGTGAGCGTCTGCCTTTTGCTTTGAGTGGTTTTTAGTAAAGCCTCCAGTTTGGCCAGATTCTCCTCTGAGTCAGCCAAAACCAGAGAGGTGCGTTCGTGCAGCTTCAGCTTGGGTTGAAGGCGAGCCATCTCCTCGGTGGCCTTGGTTTCCCGCTGCTTAAGAGCCGCCACAGCCGCAGCGTGGGATTTTCTTTTCCCTAGCAAGGTTTCGCATTGAAGGCGCAGCTCCTGAACCTGGTTGCTCAGCTCCTGGAGGGGAGAAACCTCCTCATCCGCCGTGCCGTCTATGGATTTTACTGTAGAGATCACAGGAGCCGCTACCTCCTCGCTGCCCGCAAAGAAAGGCACTGAATCGGTTACCAGCATCTCACCCCATCTGTCCAGCTCGTTCTTGTGCAGCACCGAGGCAATGAGATCCACCTTGCCGGAGGCCGTTTGCTGGAAGAGATTGGGCGCCTGCTGGTCGAAGTACTGCTGCTGCTCCTTGGAGCGCTCCTCGGGATTGGCGGATGGAATGTTGAGATTGACATTTGGCCGGAATTCGATGCCCAAACTGCTGCAGCCGAGGGATTTGCGATTGCCGACGGATCGAGCGAATTGGGGCACCCAGGGCGTCTTCAGTTGCTGCGAGAGCTCCTTGCGGATTTGCCGCTGCAGGAGTTGCCTGTGGCTCAGGGATTGCGACTTGCTGGCGCCATCCTCCGCACTTTGGCGCTCCCGCGGCAGCTGTTCGATGAGAAACATCAGGAGTCGCCGCAGTTCCACTGCATTGGGATACAGGAAGGTCTGATAGCCGATGTCGCCGCGGTAGCCAGTGTCCTTGCATCCCTGCGCCAGGGAGCTGGCCACCCCGAAGCGCGCGGCCATCGCTCCGCCGGGAAGAGTCCGGGGAAGCTGCAGATCGGGACGAATCTCCGCCAGACAGCCGGACACAGCCCGCACCACCTGCTCCGGGGTGAAGCCGGTCAGCTCCTCCATCGGCTCGATGGCCGCGTCCACCTGGTGCAGCTGGTGCATGATTATCTTGTCCACTTCGTCCATGAGAGCGACGTTTACCATCTATTTTCGCATTTTACGGCGAGTGTTTTTCTTTTAGTTGACCTTTCTGGCAGTCACCGCGATGCGACTATAAGCTGTACGTCTGGCAACGCTGCTGGCTGGCTTAATCCGATGTGGCAACACCTTTTAGATTCAAAATGCACCTTATATTGTAACGTATAAATTTTGATTTAAAACCGTTTATTCAACCATTATCTGAAAAATTCTCGTAATAAACTTTACCTGTGTAATCTAACTTTTATAGTTTCCAGAATATATACACACGATATTGTCGGAAACGTTTTCTTTAACCTGCACATTATTTTAAATGAATAAAAATCAGTTGAACTTCCGTAACTCGAAATCGAATAAATCCAAAACAGTACTATTTTCAATAGAAAGCGCAAATAAATTCCCTAACTTTTATGGTGGCAGATATTGTTTCGAGTTGTGGAATTCATACCCATTCACCCCCATTTACTTTATTATTACCGGTTCGAAATACGCTTTAATTTATTTTTAAAACAGCAAATAATTGCACATTTTTATTCTGTACCCCATTAAAATGTATCCCTGACCCTTTGTCTTAGCGTCATTATTTTATAACCAACCCTTTGGCAGTGATTGAGCGAAAATTCGCTGATATTATTTTCTAGCAGACTGGGCAGAAAATCGTCTTTGCGAGCACGCAACCACAAAGTCTAATTGAATTTGGCCAGCACCACAGAATGCGATATAAAGCGGCATCGCAGCGAGTGGAAACAGTTCAGCCCTGTGGCGCACACAGGTGTAGGTGTATCGGTTAGAAAGCGGTTCGGTATCGGTTGGGTATCGGGTTAACCGATATGGAGGCGCTGTGCAACGCCAGCGAACCGCCTCTCAGGCCAGAGGCCCGATCCTCGGGCAATGGGGATCTGCAGTTCCTCGGCTGGAATGTGCCCCCGGATCAGATTCAATATATTCCGGAGCACTGGCTGACCCAGCTGGAACCGCCCGCCTCCATGCACTACATGCTGGGCGTCTTCTACATATTCCTTTTCTGCGCCTCGACACTGGGAAATGGGATGGTCATTTGGATCTTTAGCACCTCCAAATCCCTGAGGACACCATCGAATATGTTTGTCCTCAACCTGGCCGTCTTCGATCTGATCATGTGCTTGAAGGCTCCGATCTTCATCTACAACAGCTTTCATCGGGGATTCGCCCTTGGCAACACCTGGTGTCAGATATTCGCGTCCATCGGTTCGTATTCGGGGATTGGAGCTGGAATGACGAATGCGGCCATAGGATACGATCGATATAATGTGATCACCAAGCCAATGAACCGAAACATGACCTTCACCAAGGCGGTCATAATGAACATTATCATCTGGTTGTACTGCACACCGTGGGTCGTCCTGCCGCTGACCCAGTTCTGGGATCGATTTGTGCCAGGTGGGAGAATGCATAAAGTACTCACAAATAATAGCATGTCACCGTAAAATCGATATGCGCATGTAATTTTCTGGTTATGCAACACGCATATAGTTTTAACATGAAATACTCATTACGACCATATCGAATTTACGGGGCCGCATATCAAGTTACATTTTTTTGGGTTTACTGGAAATTTTCCTCCAAAAGTGGTCCCTAAAATCAGAGGATATAGTATACGTTTTTAATGACTATATAAGTATTCTATCAATCAATTTTTTAATTGATTCGCTTGAGCTATTTTTTTTTTAGTTTTTATCTATACAGTTAATTTTTTGGTATAATGTAGAACGTTAACAAATGGTGACGTCAGACTTCTTAGTTTTCCATTGCGTTCCATCATGAATCAATGGACTCTTGATGGTGGGCGATAAAAAGGTCCAAAGTCCTCGACTTCCCATAATAAGCTTAAAGTTCTCTCGTAAGCCTTGATTGTATCTCAAATCCGTTTGCGTATAGAAAGTGGTATTCAGATATAAAGTCGGTATTTGATAAGCAATCATTACGAGGGGAAAAGTGAAGGCATATACGTTAAGCACGAAAATTAGATTCATCCAAATGAACATAGGATTAAGTTCTTGAAGGTTGACTTGTTTGAAAAAACGGCTAATGTGAAATATTAAATAATATTTCCGGACTTTTTCATTGACTATAAATAAGAGAAAATGCGTTGCCAAGGCCAAAAATGTACCAATCATCATGTATGAAGTGAACCAGAAGAAGTACCTAAGGGAGTAAAATTCGTAATATTTATACAATTGTTATAATATATACCTGTAGTTATTGTGCCCAATGCAACTGGCTGTGAAGATGCAGTGATGATCCCGCCTCAAAATGCAGACATTGCACAATTTGCAGTGCCATGCTCTAGGCTGTTTAAAAAATATATATAAATTCAATTGATAATGATATTAATGATATGATATAATGATAATGATGATATAATAATAGAATTGAACTTTTATAACTCAAACGATACATTAAAGCCCTGGAGTTTTGGAAGTTTAATAGAATTCTTATAGAAATAGATATTAAACCTTATATATAATAAAAAGATTACCGGCACCAGCATCTGACAGTAGTCACAGTAATTCCAAAGGGGTTTCTCTTCCTCGGAGGGAATCTTCCGATCCTCGGGCAGAGTTTTCACCGAGGAGTCCGTGCGATGACAGGCCAACATATTTCCCAAAAGATTGTAGACCACGAAAATGGCCACCAGCCAAGCCAGTTTGTACATCACTCCTTCGGTGTCAAAAATCATGGGAACCACAAAAAACATTTCCACCCATAAAAAGAAGGCGGTACCAACTAGAACCAAGCCCACAGCGCAGGGATGTGCGGTCATCACGAATTGCATCGGATAGATGTCTGCTATGTATTTGCAACCAACCATTATGAAGCACATGGTTCAGCCGTAATATTAAATATGTATTTGGAATAATATTACAATTTTAAACGTATTTCTTGTGTTGAATTTGAAATATGTGACAGGGATTGCAGTGCAGAAAAGATTGAGTTCACTTTACAGGATATCTTTGTAGTATACAGTTTCTTATCAAACCTTTCCTTTAATTTTTTGTAAAATATTATAACCATTCTGAAGATATCTTATCTTCCTTCCCTTCCAGAGATCATAATTCTTCAGAATTTATACAAATTCTAATTCTATAATGGAAAAATATCTTGCTTTTCTTATCTTGATTTCATTAAATCCTCTGATAAATTTTTAAACCAGTTACATATCAAGTATAGCCCAAAATGTTCTAAGATTGACCTTATGATCTTTTCTTAATTCCACCTTAATCTTATACAACTTAAAAAGATACTGATTCGAGGTGACAGGGCACAATCAATATATTTATTTGATATGCCTATATGTATGACTACGTTGACAACTATTAAATTGGGAAGAAGTTCCGATACTCAGGGTGACTACAGATCTTAGTTGGTGAGCTCTCTGGTGTCTTGGGCCTTTTTAATGACTACATTCAGGGCCAGATTGCCGTCCTCCGAGAAGAGTTCCACCGTGGACTTGTTGAGGACCAGGAAGTCGGCATTGGTGAACGAAACGAAGCTCTCGCGTATTGATCTTGGCTTGGACTGCCAACGCAGGGTGCGATTATTGGCCTCCAACGAGATGTTGTAGACAAACTCGGCGGCATCCTTCATGCTGCCGATCATGCGGCAGGCGGTGAAGTACTGCTGGCAGCCCTCGCCCAGATGGATCTTCTCCAGGGAGAGGAGGAAGTGCCGCCCATGGCACGACTGCACCATGGTCCAGTCCAGGGCGCCCTCCAGATTCACATTGGTGGCCAGGAAGATGATGTCGCTGCCCGCCATGGTGATGACGTTCTCGTGCGAACTAACCAGATGCTGGTACACATCCTTCAGCGGACCCTGCCAGACGCACTTGTCATCCGGATAGGGACAGAAGTAGGGACGGCAGTCGCAGTCCTCCTCGTGGCTGCTCTTCTCCGCATAGGAGAGCCGCGCCCGGCAGCCGAAATCTGAGTGTTTGCAGGGGAAGTTCAGCTTCGAGGCGACCTTCTCCATGGAGAGGCTCCGGATGTTGGTCATGGACACCCGGCAGACGGGGCAAAGACCCACCTTCTGGCGGCAGCTGGCGCAGAGCAGATGGCCGCGGGAGCACTGCATAATCGGTGGCATCATGTAGCCAAAGCAGACGGGGCACTCGAGTAGGGAGACCAGGAACTCATCCAATGCCCCATTCCGCATGGCCAACGGAGATTCAACTGGACTGGATGGGTCCTCTGAAGCGTCATCCTCTCGCAAGGTGTCCATTTCGTCAGTGGCGTTCACATCCTGGGATTCCTGTTTGACCACCACAACTGGGGAGTCCTCCACCGGCGGAATGGCCAAGGCTGGAGCAGATCGACGGCGAACCAACGTCTCCCCGCAATTCCTTGGAGCACTATCGCGATCCGGACGCGATTTCAAAGCTCTACCAAGAGGCATCTCTACTGCAGATAACTCTTAAGTCGCGAATTAACAATCCTACTACCTAACGACCAAAAGACAAAGTTTCCGATAAGAATTTCTTTTTTGTACTTTTCCTGAACACTTAAATTTTGGTCTGTTTTAAAATCTGTGGAAAACTGATCTGTCCTTAAAAATAGTGAGTCTGGGAATACCCAAAGTTACTGTGTCGTCTGGGCCTACTTAGTAAAGAAATACAAAGCACAATCGGTCTATTAAAATTTTAAAAGTAAAAAAACAAACCACTAATTCGTTTCATCTAGTCACTAATAATGAAATAGGCCCCTTAAAAAAGAAAACAATTAAACAAAAAATATAAACTAATATTGTACTAAAAAAAACGGCACAAAATATTAGATACAAAATAAATCTTTATAAATTGTTTTATTTTAACTAACTTTTAAATATACCTCAAGGGTCTTGAGAATCCCTTAAGGTTTCAAAGCTATAGGATCCAAACTTTAGATCATTAAGATTGGAATCAAAATGTTTCAAAATTACGGACAGTCCATCTTAAAAAGCTATTGGCCGATTACAATATTTTTTACACAAAATTTAGTATACCTTTCCCAATTAATACGGCTTCCCAGCTAAGATTAAACAATTAAGCAACTCTTATTTTACTTTTACTAATCACGTTTATTTCACTTCTGTAGTTTTTGTGTCTGTGTGAGTGATCTCGTATGGTAGTGGCGCGGTAAATCGGCGCATTAAAAGCTAATTACGGTGCAGATGCTTAAAATCATTTATTTTCTTCCGTTTTCGATCGGAAAACGTCGGTCGAAAGAAATCAAAACCAAAACATGAGCCGGACCGGGGAGATCGTCTAAACTAGGTGGAAATTTAAACATTAACATTGCTTTTTTTACGATTCGGGATGGGTTGGAAAATGGGGGAGGGGTAGTACAATTGTCTTTTTAGCATTGCGAAAAAAATTATTTTGTTTCTTTTTAGTTACTTTTGTTAATTCTGTGATGGTTTTGGCATGAACAAAATTGCTGGTCGCAGCAGTTCCTTTTATTCTGCTTTTATAACAACTCTCGAGTTATTACAGATTATCGCTATCAAATATTACTTTCTTTTTTGTTTCGCCCTTGCCGCTATTGTTATTGTTATTAGGTTTGTTAAATTTCGTTAAACTGCTCGCTTTACTTATTACCATTTACAAGTATTGTATAAAATAATTTACATTAACTAAACTAGACTTTGCAGTACATGTTTCGAGTGTGATGAGTGTGACCACCGTATCGCCATTCTTGCTGTCTCCGCTGCTTGTTTTGGTGAGTGGGTCTGTGTTCCTAGTGTTCACTGTAGTGGGTGGTACGTGGTGGGCACGTGGGCACTCGCAGGCAGCTCTGCTCCAGGTGTGTGGCCCTTAAGAACTAAATTAAACTAAAGCAGAAACCCACGAGCTAACAAAACGGGCAACACTGAAACATTGAAATATAGTGTGTGCGGTAACTGAAAAATCGAGTCCTAGAACTAGAGTACCAATCGAACCGTTTAGACATACAAACATACAGGTCTTCTTCGATTTTCACATTCGGCAAGAGTTACAGTGTCACAATATCGACAAAAGTACTTCACATTTTCGAAGGTTTTACAGGTTTAATACAAACATAATTGGTAATTGGCTTACAAAATCTAATACGGATTTCTTTTCTTTTTTAAAAGATTATACTAAAAGTATAAACAAATATGTGTGCGTAATCAGGGGTAAACTTATTTAAATATAACAAAAAAAGGTTGATATCTTGCCGAATGTGATAATTAAGACAGCCCCGACATGTCCATAGATATATATACATATGCATGTAAGTGGCTCTTAGAATAGAGAATTATTTTTATAAAACAACTCTGCAAAACGTCCTCTTCTCAATCTTTTCCAAGAGTTATTCGCCTGATGCGAACAGAGGCCTATAAACTATATGTATGTATATATATTCATATATATATGTATCGAAGAAGTAAACACAAAAATATTAAATAGCTCGGCGAATTGACAGTGCGTTTAGACCAGGGATATGGTCACGTTGATGCCCAGGTTGCCATTGTCGGCGAACAGTTGCGCAATCGACGTGTCGAACACCAGGCAGTCCGAGTTGTGGATCGCCGAGGCGACGCCCTCGTGGATCGAGCGCGGCATGGCCTCCCAGGTGAGCCGCCGGCGATTACCGTTCAGCTCCAGGCGGTACACAAAGTTCTCCGCCTCCTTGCGCGATCCGATCAGCTGGACGATGGCAAAGAACTGCTGGTGGCCGTCGTACTTCTCCTGCTTCTCCAGCACGAGCATGAAATGGTGGCCGAAACAGGACTGCATCATCACCCAGTCGACGGCGCCGGGCAGGTTGATGTCGGTGGCCAGGAACACGATATCCTCGCCCTGCAGCGTCGTGATGCTCTTGTGCGACATCATCAGATGCTGCATGACTAGGTCCAGCGGGCCCTGCCACTTGCAGCTGGCGCCCGGACAGGGACACAGGTAGGGCCGGCACTCGCACGTCTCCTCGTGCTCCGTCTTCTCCGTGTAGACCAGCGAGGCGGTGCAGCCGTAGCCAGAGTGCTTGCACGGGAACTTGACGTTCGAGGCGACCTTCTCCATCGCCAGGTTGCGGATATTCGCCAGCGGGCCGCGGCAGGTGGGGCAGCAGGTGAGCTTGGAGCGACAGGAGACGCACACCAGGTGCCCGCTGGAGCACTGCAGGATCGGCGGCAGCACATAGTCAAAGCAGACGGGGCATTCGAACAGCGAGGTCAGATCGGCGGACATGCCCGCATCACCGCCGCCGGCGGACGACAGCGAGGAGCTGGACGACGAGGATGTGTTGGCCGAGGACGTGTTGCCGGCACTGGAGGATCCCGTCGAGCTGCTCGTGTTGGTGGCCACTCCCGTGGCCCCGGCTCCTGCTGCTGCTGCTGCTGTCGTTTCGCGGCGCTTCGGGTTGATTTTATTGGACATCGGAAGGGTTCTCGCGGCGGCACAAATGTGTCTACAATTCTTCTCGGTACCCGCAATCCTCGCCAGGTTCAGGTTCAGGTTCTTCGCCCTTCCGGATTTTCCGGCAATGGCTTTATTTTTGCGGCTGCAAAAAAAACCGGTACAATAAAAACATAAGAAATCATGAGTAATGCGGCAAATTTAGTCATACGAAATATACAATTGTTACTTTGTAGGCACTGATAAGAAACTCCAGGGAAATAAGTGCTTACAATAGAATGGACATATTAAAAAATATATCTACGTTGGTTAAAAGGTTTGAAGAATATTTTTTAAAGCTTAGATGACTAATCCAGCAGATCAAAAACGGGGTATAAAATCGAACAGATGGCTGGTTTCTTTATCGTTGTCGTATTAAATTTCGCACGTTTTATCGGTTTAAGTTCCGAATAACTTTCGTTTCCGATTTGTTTTTGACGTCTTGGCCCACTGGGATATGACAAACATTTTTCTGGTGAAATTATATTTGTTGTTTTTAATTAAAATGACTCTTGCTAAAATTTTGACTGACTGGATTTATTTAAAAAAGTCATAACAAGTATGTTTTGATTTCACAAATAAATTACTAACATAAAATGGAATTTTTTTTCCTGAAATTTAGGTGTCATGTTTTTGACCTATAACCATTGAGATAGTGTTTAGTACTCCCATAAAAATTTCTTTTTAAAATTTAGAAATCTCGCCCTCATACCGCGAGCCTTTAAAAAAAACAAACCAATTTCTTGTTTTTAGAATATTCTTCTTTAAAAATAGAAATTGTCTATATTTAAAGGAGAAATCACATACTAAAAAGGGCCCAAGAATATGGGAATATACAACTTTAAAACCAAAAATAATACCCGAAACTACAACAAATATGAGTGATATTGCAGTGTTCGAATTTCGTGCAGCTCCATAGAAAAGCCACCGTGATTAATCATACCCTGACCTTAACCTTGCCGTGGACTCACAATTGTTGTCATTACCGAAAAAAGAAAACACACGCATTTGCGTGTATGGCAATTGCATTTAAGCAATTATTCAACGCGGAACGTATCGAACTGGAGTTGTTGTCCGAAAAGCAAAGCCGTAGTCCGAGGTCGTCGTCACGTCTCCGGGCGAAATGAAGGCCCGAGACTGCGATTCCAACTGGGACCCATGCCCAAGCCCAAGCCCAAAAGCCTCTTGGCGGCACGTGTGGAACGACGCAAATATGTTGGCTCTTATCAGGCGGAGCTGACGAAGCCGACGCTGATGGACGGCCATTAGGGACGACGACCCATTGCGGGATTGGGGGACTGGGCTGGTGGGTGTCGTGCTGGTTGTAATGGGTGTGGTACCACGGTTTTTGTCCACAATGGACAGAATGGGCACATATGAATGTGGGGGATAGGTGAGGTGCGCGTGCTGTGGCGGCTACTTCTGCGTTTATGCGATAAATATCACCAAAAATTATGAGTGTTATTATACATTAATTACCCTTGACTAATAAACAGGAATTGAAAGGTAAACATAGCTTCAAAGTTACTTTATAAAAGTTTTGAGAGAAGTTTTAAAGTAGTAACTGGTTTTAGTTTCTTTTAAAATCAAAGATACATACGATTCTAACAAGTTTCAAGTTATTATATTTTATCAAATTGTATTATATTTTATCAGAAAATTCAATTTCCCTAGCTCCAAGTTCCCGCATTAAATAGTTTCTGACAAAAACAACATTTTAACACAAAAAAATTTTAAGTTATATTTTTTTTTGCAAGCAAACCGGTTTTTTTATTTCTTTCAAAAGTAGCCATAATTTTTGAATATGTGTATTTTAACTGCAAGTTTTTACATAAGAAATTTAATACGCTTTTTTAAAGGTATGCATTTATTTTAAACTTTCTCTGTCCGGACTTTTAAGAATACAGCAAAAGAGATATGAAGTAGATTTTTAAAACCAGCCAGAAAAGTGTCTTTAATTTTTGAAATACATTTCTATTTCATACAAAGCATTTACAAGAAAGTGACTGCAAGTTTTACGATGACGAATATCGTAATTTCACCCGCATAAACGCAGAATCGAAAACGTAGGGGACACGCAATGAAAAGTGCGTAACGTAACAAATGCAACGGGGAATTGTGGGAGGGGTGGGGTGGTTAGCCACACAGATACAATCACAATACGACGCACACACATAATTAACAGTTCGTTTACGCTGCGTACCGTTGGAAATATTCATACGGAGTAAAAATGGTAATTGCCACAAAAGTCATAGCCATGAATATAATTAACTTTGTTTCTGCTTTCGATGAGTTGCAAAACGTAAAATAGAAAACGTAAGTTGCGGACCAGAGCGAAATGCTACTATTTTTCTTGCTTTAAGCCGCCATTAAATGCGGCTGCAATATAAACAACAACAACAACTGCGAAATACATAATCGTAGATATGTAAACTTACATGGCAGGCTGCCTCCAAGAAATCGTGCCGTGGTATTGGTGCCCCGCTGCGTTGGTGTCTGTATGTTTTATTTTTCTTGTTTTTTATTGTTGTTTTTTCTCCTTTTTATCAGTCAGCCTTTACGGCCATGCACACACACGCGCGCATACGGTCAGCATGTGTGTGTATATATCCTCGGTGCAAGTTCCGTTTTTTTTTTTGTATGTTTTGTTGCTGTTTTTCTGGCTACATATAAATCAATGCAGGTGGTTTTTCTACTGCACACGCACACTGGGAAAATGGAAAAACTGTTTTGATTGCTTTTCGCCTTTTCGTTCACCTTGCACCGCACCGAAACTCGAAATTCAGGCGTGAGCTAATTTCATTTGGCTTTTTATCTAATTTTCTTCAACGCGACCCGCACACACATTCATATTCGCCTTTTCTTTTTTGTTGTTATTTTTGCCTTTTCTGCTGCCTTTGCGCTGTTGTTGTTGTTGCACGAAAATAAATCATTTGCATTTACACACAACAGCGAACTCAGTTTTTTTTTTCGTGTGTGTCTCACTTTTTTCTATACTGCGTTCTTTGATCGCCAAGCTCGTCATTTATTGCGTTTATTGCACTTGCACTTGCGCGGTGTGGAGTTCAGTCTTTTTCGGCATTTTCCATGTACGTTGGGTGTGAAGTCTGCGTTGGATGGTCAATTAATTAATTTACTAAGTTTCTAACGCGTCGGTTGCAATGTCGATGTCGATAAACGCTATTTCACTACGGAAAGATGGCAGCACAGATGTTTTCTCGACTATCGATAACTCTTGTACATCGATTATTTTCACTGGCAAGAGTTGCCACATTTTACTGAATTTTAAAATAAAAATAAATGGCAACTCAAAATATTTTAAAAAATAAAATATTGTAGATAAGATTAGCAAGATCCTCTTTTAATGACAGATACTGAAAATTTAAAATTAGTAGTACAATAATAAACTTTGCGAACATTTTGTTTTCTTTAAAAATAACGGTAACAAATTTCAAAATTTCAGTTTAATGCTAATATATTCGGAAAACAATGTTTTAAAATAAAGGAAGATAATACATTTTTATACCTTACATTAGAAAGAAATTTTAAAATTAATTACAAATAAATACCGTTAAATTAACTATTAAAGTAAAGTTTTAAAACTAAAATCAACTTTACCAACATTTTTACATTAATAATAATAATAATAATCTTTACCATTTTCTATTCCAGAGGGCTACCTCACCTCTTGCTCCTTTGACTACCTGTCGGATAACTTTGATACCCGGCTGTTTGTGGGCACCATCTTCTTCTTCAGCTTCGTCTGTCCAACTCTGATGATCCTGTACTACTATTCCCAGATCGTAGGCCATGTGTTTAGCCACGAAAAAGCCCTGAGGGAGCAGGCCAAGAAGATGAACGTGGAGTCGCTGCGGTCGAATGTGGACAAGAGCAAGGAGACGGCGGAGATCCGGATAGCCAAGGCGGCCATCACCATTTGCTTCCTGTTCTTCGTGTCCTGGACACCGTATGGCGTAATGTCGCTGATCGGGGCCTTTGGGGACAAGAGCCTGCTCACTCCCGGCGCCACCATGATCCCGGCCTGCACCTGCAAACTGGTGGCCTGCATAGACCCATTCGTCTATGCGATCAGTCACCCCAGATACCGCATGGAGCTGCAGAAGCGGTGTCCCTGGCTGGGAGTCAACGAGAAGTCCGAGGAGATCTCTTCGGCTCAGTCCACCACCACTCAGGAGCAGCAGCAGACCACGGCGGCTTAGAACCAAGGATTACTCTACTCTCACACAGCCGACCTCGTAATACAAAAGCCTAGGGAAACTATAAAAGAACCGACGATGAAACAATGAACAATTTACGTTATAATTTGTAGAGCAACATTCCTGAGTTTACGATAAATAAATAGCAAGTTATGGCAAAGAAAGTACAAAATTAGTCGGTTTTTATTTCAATGTGGCTTCTTACATATGAGGCCTTAAAAAAACCATTCCCGATTTTTCTACGTTTACCTACCTAAAGTTATTATTTTTTATTCTTTCGACGATGAACAAACCAAAAAAGTGTTTATTCAATATCGTTAAATTAAAATAATCCTGAATTTTCACGAAAGGCGCTCCATCATTAAATCAAATGATATGTTCGGGATATTTTAAATTAAATTAATCATTTTTAGTGCAACATTCCTGAGTTTATGATAAATAAATAGCAAGTTATGGCAAAGAAAGTACAAAATTAGTCAGTTTTTATTTAAATGTGGCTTCTCAGATATCAAGGCTTAAAAAACAATTCACGATTTTTCTACGTTTACCTAACTAAAGTTATTATTTCTTTATTCTTTCGATTTCAAACAAAACTAATAGATAATCCAGAATTTCCACGAAAGGCTTTCGTTCCATCATTAAATCAAATGATATGGTCGGGCTATTTTGAAAATAGTCAGTTATGTATGAATTTATTCGGTTTTTGGGTAATATCTTTCAGATACCCGTTGTGAAATCTGTTGGCATTTGTTAGACAAAATGAAAGTGACCCCCGCCATAGGAAAACCCCCCCAGCCCCATGGCGAATCCTCCTCAGTTGCACAGCAGGGAGTGCAGTCGAATGACCGCACGGTAATCGTTGTGCGACAACAGACCGCGCTGCGATCGCTGGAGCACTCGATTGAGCCGCTCCACGGTGTCCACATTGGAGGTCATCTTGAACAGATCGTCGAGGTACTTGAGCGATTCGCGGGACCAGAACATCGACGGCTTGTTGGCGTCCTTGTTGATGCTGCCCATTCGTTCGCTCTGGTCCATCTCCGCCAGCAGGCGGTCGCACTCCGGATCGAGGGTCTGGCGCAGCTGCAGATCGGATCGCGATCGTTGCTGCGGATTGTTGTAGGGCATCTGATTGAGTTGCGGACGTCGCAGTTGCTGCTGTTGCTGGTTGTGGTGCTGTTGATATTGCTGCACCGCTATAGCAATGCGTTGCTGCTGGGCCTGCTGTTGCTGCTGCTGCTGTTGTTGCTGCTGTTGCTGTTGCAAACGCTGTTGCTGCTGCAGACGTTGCTGCTGTTGCTTCTGCTGCTGCTGCAAGCGTGGCTGCTGGTTTTGCTGTTGCTGCTGATTTTGTTTCTGTTGCTGCTGATTTTGCTTCTGTTGCTGCTGAGCCTGCTGTTGTTGCTGCTTTTTCTTCGGTATCTTCGGCGGTGGTGGCGGCGCCATATGCTGCCAAGCCGGCGGCGGAGGAGTTGGCGACGCAGGCCGCTTAGTCGGCGATTCAGGCTGACTCGGTGCCTTCTTCTGCTGCAGCCCCAGCAGCACTGGATCCAAGTGCAGCGAGGGCAGGCGATTCTTCTGATCCAGACGCCCGTAGCTGTTGAGCAGCGAGTCGTAGTTCTGATGCGGATATGCCGTGAAGATCATGCGCCAGTGGTCCTCGATCTCGGTGCGCATTTGCGGCGTGGCGTTCTCATCCGGCGAGAAGTCATCGATGAGGCGACGCAACAATACGAGGAGCTGATCGAGATGGCTCTTGCCATTCACCAATCCCGCCTGGCCCACCAGGATCATGTTGAGTTGGCGACGCTTCTTCTCGGCCATCTTGAAGCCGTTCTTGGTGTTCATCTCCTCCAGCTCCTTGATGCGCAGATAGTGATTCTTGGCATTGCCCAGATTGGTGTTCAAACTATTGATGCCATCGCGCATAAAGCGGATGAGCACATCGATCCGCTTGGGCGGCTTCTGGCTCTGGAACTCGATGCTCTTGCGCTTGACCTCCTGGTTGCGGCGCAGTAGTTTCACCTGCAGTTCCTCCTGGTTCTTTTTCAAGCCATAGATAACCAGAACATAGCCGTAATCTTTGAAGTCCATGCGCACGCTAACCTGACACTGTTTTGCCGCCGCGGCAAGGAAAGTGCGGCCCTCGGGGCTGAAAAGGTACTCGGATTGGTCGCGTGCCATGATGATCTTGCCCTCGCTTGGCACATCGGAAAGTTCTTCGCTGGAGTCCGGATGGGAATCGTTTGTAGTGCGGCGTCCGCTGCTCGTGGAGTTGATGCACATGGAAATACCCTGGACATTCGAGGAGAGTTCGAAATCGTCGTCTAGGCCACCGCTTAGGGGAATAACATCGGGCAGATTGGACAGCGGATGGTTAGGTGGTAGTTGCCGGGCCTCTTGATCCTCACTGGTTGTCGAGCTGGGCACCTCAAAGTGCTCGGAAAAACTATAATTGGAATCCGAGTCCAGTTCGTGGGGTGCCACCGATGGCTTGGTTTTTCCACTCTCAGTCTCGGGAGTCTGAAAATTGGTGGTAATCTCCGTGCGCTGAATGAAAACCGATGGATCTTCCTCATCAGGTTGCTGGTCATCAGGTTGGTCTTCTTCAGGTTGCTCTATTTTAGGTTGCTGCTCTTCAGGTTGTTCTTCTTCAGGTTGCTGCTGTTCAGGTTGCTCTTCCTCAGGTTGCTTCTCCTCCTCTTGTTGCACTTCAACTATTTCCTCAACAGGTTTTTGCTTTTGCCTTGGTTGCGATTTCTCCCCACGTGCCGCCTTCACCTGAGCATTTGGCACATAGTCATGGGTGTAAATCTTTGCCGGAATTTCGGCAAGGGCAGTGGTTGACTTCCTTTTAATTGACTGCGTTTTGGCCAAGTTCACCTGGACAAGGAACTTGGCATAGTAGCTATTTTTGGGCATACTCGGGCTGTCCCACTTGAAGTGAAAAGGTGTTGCAATAGAAAAGAAACTGCTCAGATCGCCCAGATAGCCAATGGGTCCGCCGCGATTCTTGTAGATCTTTTGGTGCGACATAATTTGACTCGTATAGTTGGTCGCCCGAAAGTCTCCAATCCGCTGGCGGCAGTTCTCGAAGTTATGGCGACCGGCACAGTAGCTGCACTGCACAATGCTCCTGTACTTAACGTTGCTGACCAATTCCGTGTTGGATCGAGTCTGTCGGAAAAGAGAAACTTAGAATTATTCCAGTTGATAAAGGGATATGTGCGTGTTATTACCGTGGAGTGATAGCGACGCCACTTATCCGGGCAGTGATCCGTGCCATGGCCCCTCATCTTGCACAGCTGGCAGACGACGCGGCTGTGAAAGGAGCACTTGTTGCACTGCTGCACGTAAATCGCCTGCTTGGATCCGCACTGGAAAATAGAAAATAGAAGTTAGTAATTTAGAATACAATTTAAATGAGTTCGTAATAGAGCCCTGCTTGAATCATTCAAATTTTGTTTTATGAAGTTTCTGATTTGTTTAATTCAATTCTTTGTGGAATAAATTGAATGTTTTTCTAATTCATTTCGAATTGAATGAATGAATGAATAATTTGTATACATTTTTTGAACTTGCCAGTTTTTCTTTGTGCTTTCTTTTGAGAACAAAAAGTGCAACATTTTTAACAAATCAATGTTAACTGCATAGTAAATAAAATTCTGGCAGATTTAATCACAAAATTATGGCCCTTTCTTCAAAAGAAATTGTTGTTTGAATTATTTCGGAATTCATGCCATTCATTCATTCAATTCTATTAAACTCCAAATTCAAATTCATTCAATTCTATTAAACTCAAAATTCTAATTATTTCATTCATATTAAATAAGAAATTCAAAATAATTAATTAAATCCATTAAAACCTACCCCAAAACAGATGGCATTGGGACAGCGGGGTTCGGCATGACCCACGGAGCCGCAGAGAAAGCAAACGAGCGGCTTGCGCGGACGTGGACACTTGGAACGCACGTGACCCATCTCAAAGCAGTTGGTGCACTTGGCGTGGGAACGGGGACGTGCCACCGGATACCTGTCTGCATTATTCAGCCTCCACTCCTGGCGATGAGCTGCAGTAAACAGTAGGTTATTAGCAAACTGACGGAGAAGAACCCAATCTTAGCACTCACCATTCATCTTCTTTTGAAGCTTGTGGACTGAGAACTGCTCCCCATTCCAGCTGTCATTGTAAAAGCGGCACATCTCCTCGTTCCAGCCGATGAGGTCACCACCCTTGGGCAGACTATCGTCCTCTAGAAGTGGCAAATTGCGCTCCACTTGGATGGCTGGCTCCTCCATCATCATATCCACATCATCCTCCTCAGCGTCCGCCTCCTGAAGCTCATGGGAGGCTTCCATATCCACATCCACATCCACATCCTCCTCGCCTCGCACTGTTGTATCTGCTACCTTTTCTCGGGAATCTTCTTCGTCGGACAGGTAACCACTGGCCTCCTCCTGCGATTTCCGGGCCTCCGCATCAAAGCGCTCGAAGACAGCTGCTAGGCGATCGGTCATCGCATCGCGGAACTCGGCTTCTGCTTGGGAATCCGCATCGGAGCCAATGGAAACGGTGTCCAAAGCTACTTCTTCTTGTACCGGCTGCTCCGTTTCCTTCTTCTGATTGAGCAATCTCTCGGCAATATCCCTCGCACTGGGCAACTCATCCTCTGAAGTGGATTCCGAACTAGCCTCCTGGCTGGCAGAAACCTTTGGCTTTTGGATGCGAGCCGCTTTCTTTGGGTTCTCGTCAGAGTTTCGCCTTACGCTGATGCGGCGTATCTTGCGCTTGCATCGCTCCACCGCCATTCCGCGGGCAATGCCCGGAACTCCGGTGGAATGAATGCCATCCTCGCTATCCGTATCATCGCGCACATCGTCGTTGTTCGCATCGGACTGGCTGTGATTGTTCGTGGAACAGGATCGCTTGCGTAGACGCTTGGTCTTCTGTACACTCGGCTCGATTATCTCCTCCACTGATGAGCTGCCCGATGGCGTGTCCACGCTGCGTATGATTGTCGGCGTAGCCTTGGTCTTGGCCTTCGAGTAGATGCCACTCTCGGTAAGATCGGATTCACTTTCGTAGACGTCTAAGGCCCTGAATTGCTGGTCATCCACTCGATAGTTGCGCTTAATCTCCTCCAGACGCGAGGGCGGCACAAATTCGTACTCCGAGGAGGTATCAGCCGCGGGATCTGCCTCTTGATCCTGGGCTCCTTCCTCTACAGAGTGTTTATCCTGCCCTCCCTGATGAATAGATTCCCTAATAGCCTTTTCTGTCAGCACCAGGAGATCATCATCATTGGCGTCCTCGCGTTCGGCCAACAAGCGAGTGGTATCCTTCTGCACAATAAAATCATCGCTGGACATCACAGAACAGCAGGGTGAATTCATGGAGGATGTGATGCTGCCAGTCGGTTCGGTAATGCAAGACAAACCCATCTTTACATCCGTCGCATCCATGGCATTCTCCTCGTGAAACAGCTGCTCATTATCGCTTTCGTCTAGGTTAATAATTGGAGCTGGAGGCAGTGGTACATGGATCACATCATCATCGTCATCGGAGGATGGGCTGCTCTCCGCCAGATCCACGAATTCCACCGGCGTGGATTGCTGCTTGCGCTGCTTTTTATTCAACTGAGCCTGCTTGGATTTCTGCTTTTTGCCTATCAGGCGCTGCATCTGCTCCAGCTTTCGATTGGCCTTGCCAAAGGGTCCCGGTTCTGGTTTCGGTTGCTTATTTTTCTGCTGCTGCAACTGCTGCTTGTTTTGCTGCGGTTTGTTCTGCTGCTTTTTGGGCGGGCAGTTCGGTGGGATGGCCACTAGAAGCCGCTGGTCGAAACGCTCCTCCTCGTAGGCCTCCTGATTAACTTTGGTGGGTGTGCTTGGTTGCGGTTTTGATTGTTGTACTACTACTGGCGACTGTTTGGGCGACAGCTTCTTCTGCTGATTTTGTTGCTGTTTTGGCTTCTGATTTTGCTGCTGCTTGGGCTGCTGTTTCTGTTGCTGTTTTGCCTGTTGTTTAGGCTGCTGGTTTAACTGCTGCTTTGTCTGCTGATTTTGCTGCTGCTTTGCCTGTTGATTTTGCTGCTGTTTTGGTGGCTGGTTTGTTGCCTTCGCTTGGTTGGGCGTTCCCTTTTTGGGCGTCAGCATGGGGCTTTTGTCCTTCGGCTTTTCAGCCTCCTTGGGCGATGGAGAGGGAGTCACTTCAGCAGCTAAAATAAGATATCCATAAATATTAAATAATATTTTTATAATTTGTTTTCTAGTTTAATTCCTGGAAAATTTAAAATAATATATAAAATTGTAAGCCTTTTTCTAGATAAGTTTATTTGCTTATTTTCTGGGACTAACATCCCCTCAATCGTTTGTATAAAAATAAAAAAATTCCTTCAGCAGCTAGAATAAGATATGCATAAATATTAAATTATATTTTTATAATTTTTTTCTAGTTTAATTCCAGGAAAACTTTCTAAGCTTTTCTCTAGATAAGTTTATTCGCTTATTTTCGTTGATTGACAACTTACAAATAATTATTTAAATTTGTATACCCTTATATTTGGTAATAAAATACCCCTAATCCTTATTTGTTTTTACAGAAAACCTTTAAGCCAATTGATAGGTAGGTTTTTTAATTTGAGGACACTTTTTAATACCACGGTGGGTTGAGCATAAGACTGAGACGGGCATTGGACATGTCCACCCCCTCCACGTCGTTTAGTTTATAGCCTTGAAGGGCCAAATCCGTCAGTTGCGACTCGCTGATGTGAAATAGGACAAAGGCCTCGGCCAGCAGATCGGATCGATTGGGCCACAAAAGGATCCGCACTGCGGTGCGAAACTCGTCGATGGCCTCCCTGATCAGCTGGTGAGCTTCGGACAGGTTCGCCAATGGCATCATCTGGCCCAGCTCCGATTGCTTGGTCTGCTCCTTGAGGGCCAGCTCCAGTTGCCTGACCAACCGCATGAAGACGAAGCGTCGATAGCGTTCCTCGAAATGCTGGCGCGGCAAGTCGTAACGACTCATTTCGCGTCGCACCAGGGCGGAAATAATAAAGCCATCCACGCAGGAGCCCAGAACACTCACGGAGGCCATCAGTACGATCCCGGACAGCAGGTACTCCACGAGCCGCTGGTCCAGCTCCTCGCGCCAGAAGAACAGATCTCGGCCGTGCTGCACCAGTTGGTAGTGGAGCAGGCACACAATGCAGACCAGGTCAAGAGTGGCCAGGGCCAGGGTGCAGTGGTTGAAGTGACCCAGCCGCCGGTGGAGCACTCGCAGGCAGCGACTGAGGATGCAGGTCATCATTGGGAATTTACGGGGAATTTTGAAGGCAAGCCAACGAAAAATTTGTTTGAAAATTACTAAAGAAACCTAGAGCCCAAAGCCAGTGTGATTGGCGCTAAATGGGGTCTATTTATAAAGAGGTTTCATACAAGAAAAGGACAAAATGGGTTCCATTTATTCTTAAACTACGCTAAATTCTTGTATTTAATTACCTCAGATAAGAGTTTTCCTTTAATAACAGCTCGTGAAGTCATAATTAAGATCATTTCGACCTTGAATAGAACCTTTAAAAGGAGGTATTGCACAAGGAAATGACAAAATTGATTCAATTTACTCCTAAACCAAGCTAAATTCTTGTATTTAATTACCTCAGATAGGAATTGTCCTATAATAGCAGCTCGTTAAGTCATAATTAAGATCATTTCGACCTTCAAAACGTTTTATAAAAGGTTATTATTAACTTAGGGTGGTATTTTTGAATAGGGCATTTTAAAAATTAAATTATTAAATCGATCAGCAAACGCTTGGATGTTTAAAACGAAATGGAAACCAAAACATGGTGATAACATTATCAAAATTAAATTTAAAAGTTCATTCCAGGGACCATACAGAAGACTTATTTTGGATAAACTTTATTGAGATTTTGTTTCTGGTAAATATTATTTTTAATATTTATTTATTTTTACTTTACTATCTATACAGATTTCTTAGAAGTCGAAAGAAAATTGTATGTAAAAAAAAAATATTGTATTATTATTAAATATTCGGTATAGATGAAATTGCCCAATCTTCATATGGTATATATGAATACAAGGTATGTTTATAAGTTATGCAGAGAAATAGTTAAGATTGCCTCTCACCTGGGATTGTTTTGTTTGGGATCGCCTGCTGTTCCTCTGCCCGAACCACCTGCCCCTGCCCCTCGACTTCCGCTCCCTCCGCCCAGTAGCGTGGCTTCAGCTTGTTGTTGTTGTTGATCACTCGCGTTCCACTGACGAATCGGTGGCCAGGCTTCGGGTGCTCCTGCTGCGGAGGCGGTGGCATGCTCCTGGCATCCTGGTCGCTGGGTGACTCCATCGCAGGCGGACCAACGGCACTCGGGTCGTCTGTTCCATCGCTGTAGTGAATCGAGGCATAGAGAATCGATTCCAACTCGTTCAGCCGCTCGCTGTCCATCTCCTCAAGCTGCGGGATTAGGGAACATGACAATGGGTCGAATTTCGGGTATTAGGGCCAGCACTCACATCACTCATATTGCGCGTCTTTGTTTTCCTTTGCTTTTGATTTATTTTTCTTGCGCATTGATAAAAAAGTAATATAAAGAAAAGAAAAGAGAGCACGTTGACTAGTGGTGAGCAAATCGGGAAGGGAAGGCAATCGAAACAGTGGTGGCAGTCTAGCTATCGAAAGTTGTGACTATCGAATGGAAACAAAAATTAGTTGGTAGGTAAAAATTAATTTAAAAACATTTATTTACTCTTGCTGTTATATGAGTATTAACGAATTATAAGTTATTAATATAAAACCCATATAAATATGCATTTTTTTTTTTAAATTTGAATGTTATTTCCTAAATATTTTATTTTACAAATTGTTTGAAGTCTTTTTTTTAAATATAAATTACAATTTCCAAACACATTATTTCAGTTGATTTTCGTTTTTTTCTGTACATGTTTTTTTAAATCGAAATTAAAATCTCCCTCCCAATTATTTATTTTCAGATTCGATAGTTGAAATCCCCCTATCGATAGTGGGCTGCCAAGCGATTACGATAACTAGAGGAGCAACCCTAGCTGCCGGGCCACGTACAATTTGCGACCAAAAATAACAAGAAGAAATTAAAGCTAAAAAACAATGTAAGTGAGCCGGTAATGTGACAAACTGAGAGCTAATTTAACTATACACGACCCTTTCAGTATGGATGTGATGCAGCGCTACGTTTCGCCCGTGAACCCGGCCGTTTTCCCCCACCTCGCCACCGTGCTCCTGGTCATCGGAACTTTCTTCACCGCCTGGTTCTTCATCTTCGTGGTGTCCCGGAAGAGCGCCAAGGAGAGCACTCTGATCAAGGAGCTGCTGATCAGCCTGTGCGCCTCGATCTTCCTGGGATTCGGCATTGTTTTCCTGCTCCTAACCGTCGGTATTTACGTATGAGATATATAATAGGCAACGACCATTCCGCATAGAAATAAACTAGAGATCTGATCGTGGGCGTGAACGTACATGAGGCCTTCTTTTTATTAAGGTTTGATTTGTAATTCCATTTTCAAAGATTCAATTTGCGCTTAAAACAATATCGAATATACATACATATATATTATGCTAACATATAAATCGTCTAAACGTGCAACCCGTCGAATAAGAAATGGCCATTCTATCCGGCCAGTCCGGCCTTTTGTCTGCACTTCTGCATGGTGGCCCGCAGGATGAACTGTTTCCGGGACAGCTGGCGCACGTGCTTGAGGAAGGTCTCCAGGTCGATGACCCCGCCGCGGAGTCCCTCGCCCAGATAATAGATGGCATCCTCGGTGGCAGCCTCGTCGGCATAGGCATTGAGTAATCTGAGGGTTTACATTTTCATATTTATAATCTCAAGATGATAATTCGCAACTTACTGTCGGTACAAAGGCGCCGTGGTGGTCACCGCCTCGTCGGGATCGATGGCCTCGGCGCTCTCCAGTGTCTCCAGGCTCTTCTCCAGTTCCTGCTCCTTGTCCTTCAGCACACTGATGTTCTTCTGCAGATCAACCTGTTCGCGCTCGAGTCGCGATATAATGGTGTCGATCTTAGAACTGCCCTCGACCAGCTCCTGCTTGGTGCGATTGAGGGTTTCGATCTCGGCCTGATACTGATTAACCTTCTCCTGGATGCGACGGCGCAGCTTGTCCTCCACGGCGCTGATTAGTGATGCTTTGATGTGCTCCTCGGTTATGGTGCCCGTGGAGCTGGGATTGGAGGGGTTCTAGGGGAGAACAGAACGGTTAGAGGGTTTATATTTCATGGTTACAGGTTTATATCCTACATATCCTCCTGCTGGTGGGTAGCCAGCGCCCCCTGGTTGCGGGAAATTCATGTAGGGCGGATAGCCGGAGGGCCCAGCTGGTCCAGCGCCTGCCGGTGGATACGGTCCGAAGTTGGAGCCCGTGGGATACGGCGGAAAGTTGCCGCCACCAGCTCCGCCAGCAGTGGGATAGGGCAGAAAAGAATTGCTGCCACCAGGTCCACCTGGCTGAGGCATAAAAGCTGAAGAAAATAATATAAAATATTAATTTTACAGATGAAATATAGATATAAAACCCCTCACTTACAGTTTGTGGGATATGGCGCTGCGATTTGTTCCTTGGGCTTCGAGTAAACCGGCGGATGATCGCCGAAGGTGACGATCATCACCTGGATGAGGGACAGAAGGTCGGAGGAGTGCGGCTGCCAGTCGTGCAGGTAGGGCAGATAGACCTTTCCGTTGTGGTCCACGTACATGGAGACCTTTATCTGCATGGTGGGCGTGGGCTTGACGAAGCACATGGGTGCATTCTGCGGATGAGTGTCCATCAACCATATACAAATGGGAATGTAGTAGGTGTTATCTGATAGCGAAAAAGGGAGTACATTATCATTATCTTGGGGGGTTCGTAATATAATATATTACTTTTGTAGACCACGGGAATAGTGCCCTGGATGGTGAACAATTCCTTGGAGCTGCCATCGTTGAAAACTGAAAATAAGGAAATATTTATCCCCAGTGGGATGCTGTTATCAGCTGACTCTTACCGAATCTCTGCAGGTCGTAGGTCAAGCTGCGATAGGAGGAGACCACATCCACCACGTCCTTCTTGGTGGCACCCACATATTTGTACTGCAATTAATCCATTATTAAAGCAAATTGCGTTGCGTGCAGAAGAAAGGAAAATGCGAAATCCCAGAGAATGGGAGGATGACTCATAGACGGGGGCCTCACCTTTGAGAGATACTTCGTTATTTGTGCCTCCTCGACCGCGGGCATGGTGTGTGGCAGACCAGTTCGGCTCGAATCGAAATCCTCCTCAAATTCTGCTCGAATTTTAATATTTTCCGAGAGATCACGGGAAATTTGTTGAATGAAAACAAAGTGATAGTATGCAAAGCAGTGTGGTATTAAATTAGTATAATACTGAATTTTATCGAAAATATACCATTTTGGTATTTAAACAGTGATGCCAGACTTTTTGCTTGTTATCGGCAAGAAACCGTTACATTTTAGCTAAAGTTTTAAAATTTAAAGTTTAACTGTAATAGTTTAAGATATCTAAAGAACAAACTGGTTATTCTTATCTATTTTCGTACTGTTGACAGAAGATTGCAATTTTAGTTTTATTAGCGATTTTTGTCTGTTGGAAAATCTCATTGCTTCTTGAGCTTAAGCAAACTAACAATAATACATTTAATTCTCAAGTAATTTAATTATTTATAGAACTGGCGGAAACTTTAATGCCATTAAATGCTTTCAGCAATTCTCAATTTAATGCTCTACATTCTTTGCTTAATTCCAGTTGCCCCTGCCGATTTTAATTAACCAAATCTTGAACAGATCGAAGCCCTCGGGCTATCTGAGCCGCAATTAAGCCAAAATCGTGCCAATTACCGATCGGCTTATCTCTGCAAAGTAAATCCATGTACAGACCCATTGCTCCACTCGTTAAGCTTAATTGTGAACAGAAATTGGCGCGAGTCGTTAAACTTTTTCGAGGCACTTTGTCGCGAATTTCAATTCCGTTGCGGATTCCGCTTTGACAGTAATTACTTCCAATGTCTCAAGTTCGCGCACATAAAATTTCGATTCCAAGGAAGGTCAGCTCTAATGCCTTTTGTTACTGTTTGCTTTGCTGATTGATTTCTGGCCGAAGCGCAATCAATGAACAAGTACAGTAGCCAAAATGTTGCCCTATCATTAAGGCATTGCTGGGATATTGAGATTCTTGTTCGGGGTTGTTGCAAAAATCTTTAATTATAAACATAATTATTTTATATAATTTTTAGGTCCATCAAAGTTTATATTATGGCCTAAAAAATTGCTTAAACAATATTTAAAGAAAATAATGGATAATATGTACCTCATCTTTTAGATATACTATTAAAATATAGAGTTTTACACACCAGCATTTTAGAACCTTTTGAAATCTACGAATATAAAGTTAATATCATTCTTCTCTTTATAAATTTTAATATAAATTAATTAAATACAATAAATTTTTAGCTTGACGAATGGAAAATATATAAATAGACTGGGTATAGCTGCTTCGGTTGGTTGGACAATTTGGTGGAATGGCAAGTGCTTTTGGGCAATTGGCTTCTTGTGCGTTTCGCCTTCGGCCAAACACAAATTGTTGGCCATGTGTACTTGAACTCGCCTGAAGAGCTCGGCTGAAGTTCAAATCAGAAGTGAATTCACATAAATCACTTTGGGCACACTCTGCTGGCTGGCTGACTGCCGATTACTCATACGCCTCGTGGTCGCTTTTAATTAGCCAACGCGATTCTTATCACTTTTGGCCACCGCTACTGCTGGAAGCCAACCTGACGCTACTTTGGCTATGCACTGGGAAAACTATCCAATTTTGTTCTGATATTGTAAAATATCTATTACAAATTTGTTGCCCAATTTTAAATTTTTTTAAATAAAACTCATGATAATTTTACCTCTGTTAAAAAAAAAAAAAACAGATTTATTGTATAATATTTTTTTATTTGTTAAGTTTTTCTGTTAAAATATATATTCTCTTTGAGGAACGATGCAAAAATAAATAGATGCATATATATTACTTACAGATTTTTAAACCCATTTTCTTATTTTTGAGTTACAAAATAACTTAGTTACAACCCACAGATAAAATACTGATAGATCTTTAAAAATATCCAAATATTGTTTCTGTGTGGCTATGTAATTGCCTGCTTTTGTAAACTTGATTTTCTCAACCGCGTTGACCTCCGGCCAGCTGTGTGCTGCTTCTTCTACAGCTACTGCCACCGCGATGATAATGATAATCATCGTAATAATCGCGTTCCTCGGTCTTTGTGTGCGACGTCTATTCTCTCTTTTGGCTGTGAAATCTTCTAGCCCCTGTCCCAAGGCCAGGCAAATTACAACAAAGCTCTGGGGCAGCGGCAATTGAGTTCATTATCATAATAACCCATTGACCAACTAATTGTTGTAAGTTTTTTTTTCTGTATTGCCGTGGCCATATGTTTCTCGATTCGCCTGGGAGGTCTGGAGTCTCAGATCTCTCGGCTGAGAATCGAAAGTAGAATGATACATACGACGGGTCGGGATCTGCGGGACCACCCACGAACTCGAAATCGACCGATTGGATCTCGTTCAGAAGTCATCAATTTTGTCAACTGAATCTCGCAGCTCGATTAATCACTTCACGCCTGCCAATGACTTTTAATGAGCCGCCTGGCGAGCAATAAATTTAATTAAAACAATTTCAGCACTCTGAGGCCGAGTACTTGACCCAAACAGACGATCCGGCCCGAAGTTCTAGCCTGATGGATCCGTGAATCGGCATAATGGACTTGGCCAGAAGCGGAAGTGGGCAGGCAAAGTCCGGCTAATTGGCCGCCATTATGTCTTTACATTTTATAAATGGCAAATCTTCACTCTGAATCGAGACTTATTTTCGGAGTACTTATTGCTCGGCGTTCTAAAAATAAAGTCTAATGAGCACCGCCGAGGCAAGCAATAATAGACTAAAAATAAATGCCAATGAAAAAACTAATGAAATTAATCTGTCAGTGAGTTGGAAGCGACCGCAGAAGAGATTCCATGGAGAAAAGGTAAAATTCCCCGGCGAATTCTTAGGAACCGAATCCATTAAACTCATTAAACCCATGTGCTATGTTATTAATCCATCCGCCCCAGTGACCTCTTCGAAAAGGCGGAAAACCGAGGTGCCAATTGAAACTCCACTGTAATGCTATTTAATGCTATTTATTATGCCTTAAAAACAATAAACCATTCGAACAAAAGCCCAGCGCAAGAATCAATAATACACCTGATGCCGCCATGACATGCTATATATAGTAGATATATGAGTACCCATGGATAGCCAAATGAATATGCTTTCGGTACCAGCCCCCACTGACAATATCATTAACAACAAAGAACAAATTTCTGCCAGCATCACTTTGCAGCGATTAATGAACAATACACAACACATTGGGGAAAACAAAACCAATGCAAGAACAAATAAATACGTGGAAATACACAAAGCATGAAATAATATTCAATAAGATGTTTGAATTTTGAGCATGAGAAGATTTGCGGCTAGATCTGTAAAAAGTTATTTAACTACGGCTAAGAGGTTTATGAATTTATGCCCATTAGATATGAAATTATTTTTAATATCTTGTTTGGCCTTTGAAGAATAATACGATTCTTTTTCAATGTACCTAAAGCTATTTTTAAAAAATTGAGTAATAAGGTGATGGATTTCTAAAGTAGAAATATACTTTATTTTAAAATTGTTAATAGTATTTCTAGCCATGAAGAAATGGTTGAAAGAGTTAAAAGTGCTTTAATTTTCTCCTCAGGGGATTGGGAATAGCTTAATTACATATTTGAATATTCTTTTCAACTTCCATTTCCAACCATTCTTCAAAACATTTCAAAACAGAAAAAAATATGGCATAGGCCCTCTGTTTTTGGGCGTATCTGGGGGGTCACTTCCGGGTCAAACCCCGTACTCACCTGCGTTTTACATTCGTGAACTCTGCCACTCGACGACAGAAACCATTAATTAGTAAATTGCTTTGTTTTTGTGACAAAATACCCGAATTTGTTCGTGTGCTCCCTTCGAATGATTGATGGCTGTTTGATTTGTGCGAACTTTGAATTAGCCATCATTTGTTGGCCTGTCAGCAATCGATGAATTAAGCAGGGACTGGGAGTTGGGCGACGTGTTCCTGCTCCAGGCGAAAAGCTCCATGGATTAGCTCCGTTAGCTCCGGTTCCGCATTGCTGGTGAGCAAAATTATCAATCAATATATTCAAAAAGCGCTTTTTGAAAAACGCTTCCCAGGTTTTTTCCAAATAGCGTTTACTGACTTCTAGAAGAGCACTAAATTAAGGCTAAGATGGCGCTGACAGTTTAGAATGTGAAATGAGCCGAGAAAAACCTTCGGCCTGTTTTGTTTTCGTTTTCTAGAACTTAAAAAAAAACCATTTCAAGTGAACAATAATTTTCGAGCATAATGACGACGACGACGACAGCGACACAGACACAATTACCCAGATTTTGAATAGAGCTTCAATGTCAGCATTACAGGAAGCATTTTGGTTTTATTTCGGTTGGTCTAGAGAACTTAATTTTCAGCCCTGGCCGACGTCTTATCACGCCTCGAAAACATTTAGCTTATCAATGACGCTCGGTATAAAATCAACCGCCATCTGTCTATGCTTTTGGCTACTGTTTCTACTGTTTCTGCTTCGAATTCGACTTCAGTTCGCTATTAGATTTCGCATAAAAGTTCAATTAATTATATTATTTCAATTTCCTTTTGTCTTTGCTCCGCTATCGTTAAAACGAAATTTATGAATGATCATTGGCTGACTTGGGGTTTCCAGTTTTTGATTTGATTCCAAATGCTGGGCACGTAACCACCTAGGCCAAAGCACTCACACTCGAATTGGTTTATATAAATCTACGAACATTTTGCAGAGTAATCTTTGCATTAAAATATATGGATTTTATTTTTAATTTTTCTGATAATTAATGGAGTGGCAAATTATGAATAATCTCTGCTCAGCTCCTCTCAAGTGGCAAATTAGAACAGAAGTTGATTGATGCTGATTGAATAAGTTTCCGATTTGAATGCGGTCTGTGAGTCAACAAACGAAAATTAGTCACTCTCTAAGTGGGTTGTGTAAACTTTATGGGCAAAAAGAACGTTTTGGGGGAATTTTGTAGAAAAGATCATGACTCTAGGGAAGACTGATTAATTTTGCCTAAAGTTAAAAGATTTAAATATTTATCTGATTATTTAAATGCTGTATAAATCATTGTTAATGGACATTTATTAGTTTAATTTTTGTAAAACAAAATCACAGACTTTTAAAATATTTTAGGTGTTATCCCCAACTTAAAGCAATATG